AAAAAACTTCTGCTCTCAAAAGGTTCTTAAGTGAATGAAAAAACAATCCACAGACTTCAGATAATGCTTGCCAAAAATAATAATACATTTTCACATTGTTTACACACTTATGAGCCAGACACTGTTCTAAGAAATTTATACAAGTTGTTGTATCTGTATAAGAACACCTTCTAAAGGAGATACAATTCTTATCCTCCTTTCATATATATGAAAGGCACAGGAATTTTAAAATTCAGCTTCATGACAAAAAACTAGGAGCCAAAATCAGAACCCAGGCTGCCTGACTTTTGCACCCATGCTTTTGGCATCTCCTAAGGTAAAAACAAATGACACCTCTTTTTTTTTTTTTCATTTTTCTGTCCTTAATTTGTTTGAGGAGGGCTTTTTAAAAATCACCTATTTCTCATTTCAACAGACTACCTTTTAAAACTCCTAACGTAGGCATTTTTGCTGGACACATCTGCCCAGCTGTGTTCAATATATAACATTCCCTTTTTATAAGCCTTTTCGAAGATGGGGCTAACCAAAAGGTTATCAGTGCTCCTGGGACTGGCATCAGCAATCCCAGGGTAGCACGAGTAAGTTAGTAGCACTTCATGCCAGATAAAGCAGCCTTGAGCTTGAATTGCCACACTGCCCAATTTACTCTTTTGGAGCAAGGGACATTCCCGTTGCAGAGGACATAGTGGTTTCTTATGCCCAGAAAGAATGCCTGTGCCTCCTTCAGTGGCCAATTACATCTAGAGAGAGACCAAGGCATGGGAACGCTCATGTTTATCTGTGTGTCTGAGCCCACCCACTGTTTCACTGCCGGCCATGGAGAAAGAAGTATCAAGTCCTAAAAAGGCATTTGCGCTGAATAGCACAATATGCTTGGATACCCTCACTTCATGTAAACACAGGGCGATTGTGAATTCTGAGAGCCTGGGTGTTACAGTTCAGCAAGGGTCTGATTAGCCTCTAGAATGCATCCCCAGAAAGGGCTGCAGACCTCTTTGTCTGGAGGAGGGGTGTACACATGACTCTGGTCACCAGGGCTTCCTAGCAATTCTATGAATATTTCATCCCAGCTTCCCATAGAGGAACATTCTGCTAGTCTCTAGCACTCTCGTGGCAAAGGGCTTTTGGCTAGCCCAGCTTATTTTTACAAGTGCGAGTGAAGCATTTTGATGTAAAAGGAAGAGTCGTGGGAAACTGAATTTCCTTCTTTGCACGATAGAAATAATGCAGCTTGTACGTTTTTGCCAAAAGCTGGTAATTGCTGAGTAAACTCTGTTTTGAACTATCAGCGCGGAGAGTCTTTTGTGACTTCAGCTTTGACGTCATGTAAGTGACTGTGCCTAAAAGTCAAAATTATACATTGTGTCGCCCTTCATGGTCTCTGGTCTCAGGGACCAAAAAGCACAGGGTCTTATTCTTTATTTCCATTGTATAATATTCTCCGTAGCACTTAACTTTTTAATGTCTCTGCGCCTTCCAACCTTCAAGAAGAAGAATACAATAACTGGCTTTGCCTACTCTGCTGGCAGGATTTGGGGATCACATTTTTCCTGGGTGTTCTTGTTCATGTGGCTGGGGAACATTCCTTTGAACTTATCCCCACAGAAACTCAGCCTTTCTGATTTTAAGTCAGTCAGAGAGAGCAACTCCAACAAAACTTGAAACAGAGGCACTTGGCACCTGCCACACCCAGGGCATGGCCCTCTGAGATTTACTGAAGTCCAAAAAGATGAATATGATTGTCTCTTTGTGTCAACTACTTAAGAGTTAAAATTTAATTTTAATCAAGGTAGGATATGTAAAGTTTTGAAATGTGAGTGTTCCCTGGGCATATTAGCATAGTTAACTTTCTCCAAACAGAGAAAGATCTTAGGTTTTAAGTTTTGGAGCAGCTTTTAAACTCTAGGAAAGAGAAAAATCAATGTCATGACATGTCTGTACAGATATTCATTTATTATCATCATCTGTGCAGATCTGACTGTCTCCAAGATTACAGTTTACCCCCACTAGTGCTCCCTCAACCAACTTTCTGTCTAAAATAACAGCATTCTCTCTGCTTTTATACTAATATAAGAATATATGAAACGTTGCCTGTATTTAGAAAAGAAAGCCTTTCCTTTGGGTTTTATAATTCTGCTTTTCTTGATAAGTGTGCATGTAGACCATCTATATATGCAGGTAAGTAAAAGAGAATGTCACTTGCTTTATACACAGTAATGTATAAGGATTAGGGGAGAGGAGGGTTGTGAAACCAGCATTAAATACTCCTCATTTCATCAGGAAAAAGGAATGTGCTCTGAGAAAATAGTAGTGCAATAGTCATAAGGTATCCCACGTGGCTAAACAAAACACCTGCCTGCTGCAGGTACGTCAGTTCTGGGAAAGGAGAGCGGGTTTCCTTACAGAGGGTGGAGAGGAAGAGAGGAAATCCACATCTGATTCAATTGTCTATGAAAACGAAGGTGCCGATCCGTATCATGCACACGAATGAAAATACCTCTTGAGTTAATTCATCGCTTAGCTTGTCTAAAGATGGGAGGTTTGCAGGGGGAAGGCACTCAAAATTCTTGTGTCCATTGACGGCGGGTCTGTATGCTAATTTCTCATCGGAAGGGCTCCATTTTTTGTTAAAGAGTTCACACAAGGCCCTATCAAAGTTCATTGTGCAATTTTGTTTTGAGCCCTTGAAGGACAGTTTTTATCTTATTTTATTAGAAATCTAACAGAACCGTCCTTGATTAGCAGGCTTTTCTGCAGAGTGAGGCCCAAGCAGGACTCCAGGGACTGGAAGTGTGAATTTTAATGCTTTGTTGCAAAAGGAGGAGACTCTAGCTATTCGCAGCATCTTATTTAACGCGGGATACGCTGACATAACGTGAAGCGGTGCACTGATGGCCTACATTAAGTTACAGATATGAATTTTACATAAAACGGATTGATATTACATGTCATGGTAGAATTTTAACTACTCCCTGCCCATGCATTTTTAATATTTACATGTTCTAATTTAATGCTCAAAAGCAACTGCATTTCTTGAGCCCACTTCTGTGTTTAGACAGGCAAAAGAAAAACCCTACGACGTTTTTTGTTTTATTTATATTTCCTTTCAGCAAAAATCTGCATTCGGCATTCCTTCCTTTTTGCCCCCTTAAGCATTAAACCTTTTCTAAAAGGAAAACGGAAAGGCTACGCATTCCATTCCATCATTATGGTTTCGGCAATTGTGAAAAGGCAAATAATGAAACGGCGAGGGAAAAATACAAAACAGAAGGAACGTGCCTTCTTGAAAAGCGTCCTTCTTAAGGCGCTGGAATCCCAGGTATGGAGTGAGGATGGGTGGCGGGTGGAGGGTCCCTACGCACCGCGCTATTCGAGGTGGCAGGCTATCCTCGCGCAGGGCTCAGCGCTCCTGCTGCAGCCTGAGCCGAGGGAGAATGAATTCCAGCCGCACATTCCCGCAGTTCTTCGCAGGAACTTCTCCCTCTTTCCCCTCCCTAGGGCACACACCAGCCTGGCCGGGCTCCCACCCAGCTCTTTTCTCAGAGCCCCGACCTACGGCGTTGACGGAATGGAGTGCCCTTCCCATTGGCCGGAGCGCCATTCCCTGAGGTGGTACTGTCTGCCTGATTGGCTGGCCACTCCCGACCCCCCGCCTACCCCTCCGCTCGGGTTGCCCGGCTCCCCGCCCCCCAGCGCTGCCCCGAGCCTCCGCCCTCGCTGGCTCCCTCCGCGCTCCCAGCCCCGCTCCACTTGGCTGGCGCCGGGACCCGGCCCGCGCGCTGGCCCCGCCCCCAGGGCGCGAGGCTCTATAAATACAGCTGCGCGTCGGGCAGGGCAAGAGCGGGGAGGAGGCGCGGTTGTGAGTCAGTCCCGGGAGTGGGGAAACCTCGGGCGTGGGGGAGCGCGGCGGCGACAGGGCTATACTCGGAGCTCCGAAGGGAGTGACTGGGGACCCGGTAGGCTTCTTTCCTGCCGGTGCTTTTGAGATTTCTTGCCTTTTGGTCCCGGCCGAGTGTCGCCCACTGAGCAGAGATTCCCTTCGCAAAACCCGGAGCGACCCTCCAGTCAATTGTTGGGCTCCGGATCCTTAAGAGCTTTGCGGTGCCCAGAGCGCGCCGGGCGCGAAGGCAAGGGGAGTGGAGTCGGCCGCGCGCGGGGGCCCAGCGCTTACCTCCCTCCCTCCCTCCCTCGCTCGCCCTAGCGGGTCCGCTCGCACCGGGGCGCAGGGCGCGCGCCATGAAGGCGGTGAGCCCCGTGCGCCCCTCGGGCCGCAAAGGCGCCCGCCGGGCTGCGGCGGCGGGGAAATTGGCGCTGCGCTGCCTGGCCCGAGCACGGGCCAACAACCTGGGTGGCTCGGCGGGCCGCGGCGGGCGGCTGGCGGGGGCCCGCTCCGCTGTAAAGTGCCCGAGGCGCCGCCCGACGACCCGGCCCCTGTCCCTGCATGCCGATATGAAACGACTTGCTAACGGCCCTCGTGCGCAAGCTGTGCCCCACTATCCCGCCCATCAAGAAAGTCCTCCAAAGTGAAAATCCTTGAAGCAGTTTATCATATAACTTCCGTGACCTGGCATGCGGGGCCTGTATAACCCACCCGGCTTCGGGCTGAAACTGTCCCCCACCCCCGGCCCCCGCCAATCTTCCGTGCGGGGTATCTGTGCTGGCCTGCCCTGCGGTGGTAATCTGTGTTTATGGGTTTTATAATCGTACCTGGGTGAGTAGGCCCGGGTGTTCCCTCTGGGCCGCTTGTTGGTGTGGTGCCCTGGTAGGTGGAGTATTGTTGTCCCGGGG